GTCCCTCCCTCCCTCCCCTTCCGTCCCTCCCTCCCTCCCTCCCGTCCCTCCCTCCCAGTCTCCCCCTCCTCCTCCTCATCCTCCTCCTCCTCCGCCTCTTCCTCCTGCTGCTCCTCCGCATCCTCCATTCCTTCTCCTTGTACATAATTTCTCCCTGTCGCACCCCGAGGCCAGTTTTTAGGGCGGGTCGGGCGTTTCGCCTGAGACTTCCTCACCAAGTATGACCCTGAAGCTTGAACATTGACAGCTTCACAGATGGGGCGCGGGTCGTTTTCAAGATGTGGCGCTCGTCTTTGCGCTGCGCACATTCGTTTGCAACATTTGCAAGCGTTTCACGGGTTGAAGGCGGGTCGGTTTCAAAATGTGGCTCTCGCCAGATGGCCACGAGCATTCGTTGTCAACATTTGCAGGAGTTTCACGGACTGAGGGCGGGTGGTTTTCAAAATGTGGCTCTCGCCTTAGCGCCGCGCACATTCGTTTTCAAAATTTGCAAGAGTTTCACGGGTTGAGGGCGGTTCCTTTTCGAAATGTGGCTCTCGCCGTAGCGCCGCGCACACTTTTCATATAAAATTGCAGGAGTTTCACGGGTTCCCATGGTCGACGTACCAGAAATGGTGCGCCGGAAAGATTCACGATTTTGAAAGCGCAACATTTACGCTGATTCGCGAATTTGAGGTAGCAAGAATGGCGTTCCGGTACGATTCAGGATCGTCAAGACGCAACAATCAAGTCAGATTCACCCGTGGCGCTGGAATGCCGACAAAAAACTGTTTTGGCATGCTTCAGGTCCTTCAAACAGTTGTCTTCCAACGAGGCAGGTCCCTCTCTGAAAATGAAGCCGTTGTGCGGGCCTATGCAGAGGGAGCTCGGGGGGAGGGTTTATTACAACATCGTTGGTGACTCTTGGGTTTAAACTGGTCCGCCTCCTCCTCCTCCTCATCTACTTCCTCCTCCTCTGCTTCACTTCCTTCTCCACATCATCATATCAGCATCATCAACATCATAATCCTAATCAGCATCAGCATCATCATCATCATCATCATCATCATCATCATCATCATCATCAGCATAAGCCTCACCACAATCATCATCAGCAGCATCATCAGCCTCATCATCATCATCATCATCATCATCATCATCATCATCATCGTCATCGTCATCGTCATCATCATCATCATCATCATCATCATTATCATCATCATCATCATCATCAGCGTCGTTACCATCATCATCACCATCATCAGCAGCAGCAGCACCACCATCAGCATCATTATCAACACCTGCTTCTTCATCATCAGCATCATCATAATAATCGTAAGCATCAGCAGCATCATCATCAGCATCATCGTCATCTGCATCAGCATCTGCATCATCATCAACATCATCAACGGCATCATCATCAGCATCATCAGCATCAGCATCATCATCATCAGCAGCAGCATCATCCCCATCATCATCATCACCAGCATCAGCATCACAAGCATCATCACCATCAGCATCAGCAGGATCAACAACATCAGCAGCTTCATCATCAGCATAATCAGCAGCAGCATCATCAGCATCAGCAACATCAGCATCGTAATCAGCAGCAGCATCAACATCAGCATCATCATCGCTATCAGTATCATCATCATCAGCATCATCACCATCTGTATCAGCACCTCCAACATCACTCATAACCACCACCATCACCACCAGCATCATCAGCATCAGCATCAGCATCATCATCATTAGCGTTGGTATCAGCATCAGCATCAGCATCAGCATCGTCATCATCAGCAGCATCACCATCAGCATCGCCACCATCATCATCAGCATCATCGTCTCCTTATTTCCTCACAACCTCATCTCATCATCAGCTCATCCCCTCATCCTCCTCCTCCTTCTCCTCCTCCTCCTCCTCCTCTTCCCGTCTCCCCTCCTCCCCTGCTCCTCCTCGTCCTCCTCCTCTTCCTCCTGTTCCTCCTCATCGTCGTCCTTCTGCTCCTCCTCCTCCTCCGCCTCCTCCTTATCCTCCTCCCCCAATCCGCCTCCCCCATCCTCCTCCTCATCCTCCCCCTCCGATTCCGTCGCCTCTTCCTCCTCCTCTTCCTCAGTCTCCTCCTATTCCTCCCCCGCCTCATCTTTCTAATCGTCATCAGCAGCATCATCATCATCGTCAGCAGCATCATCAGCAGCATCGTCAGCATCATGAGCATACTTGTCAGCATCATCATCATCATCACCACCATCATCATCATCATCATCAGCATCATCATCATCATCATCATCATCGTCATCATCATCATCCCCAGCATCAGCAGCATCAGCATCATCATCATCACCATCAGCAGCATCATCATCAGCATCATCATAATCAGCATCACCATCAGCATCAGCATCAACATAAGCAGCATCAGCAGCAGCATCAGCAGCAACATCACCATCAGCACCAGCATCGTAAACAGCATCGTCATCACCAACAGCAGCATCAGCAGCAGCACCATCAGCATCGTCATCACCACAATCATTATCATCAACCTCATACCCATCACCAACGCTGCCATCAGCATGATCATGATAATCATCAACATCATCAGCATCGTCACCGTCGTCGTCGTCATCCTCATCTTCGTCAGCGTCATCATCCTCATCATCTGCAGCAGCTGCCCTACCATCATCATCGTCATCATCATCACCAGCAGCAGCCTCATCGGCATCGTCAGCATCATCATCATCATCATCAGCATCGGCATCATCAGCAGCATCATCAGTACCGTCGTCGTCAGCATCGTCAGTATTACCATCAACATCATCATCACCATCATCAGCATCATCGGCATCATCGTCATCAGCATCAGTATCAGCCATACTCGTTAGCAGCAGCATCACCATCATCAACATCATCATAAACATCGGCACCATCATCATCCTCACATTCAGCATCATCATCGTCATCATCATCATCGTCATCATCATCATCATCATCATCATCATCATCATAATGAGCGTCGCCGTGATCATCAGTATCAGCATCATCAGTATAACCAGCATAACCACCAACACCACCACCGTCATCATTCTCGCCATCATTTACAATAATATCATCAGCATCATCATTAGCATCGGCAGCAGCATCATCAGCATCATCAGCATCGTCATCATCATCATGATCAGCATCGCCATCGTCATCGTTATCGGCATCGGCATCGTGCTCGTCATCGGCATCGTCATCATCATCGTCATACTTATCATCAATATCAGCAGCAGCAGCAGCACCATTCGCATCATCATCAGTGTCAGCATCATCGTACGACCAACAGCATCATCACTATCATCATCATCCTCATCATCATAATCATCATCGTCGTCGTCGCCATCGTCATCGACATCACCATACTCATCATCAGCATCATGATCATAAACAGCACAATCATCACAGTCATCATCAGCATCGCCATCACCACCAGCACCACCACCAGCATCATCACACCTCAACATCATCATCACCATCAGCAACAGCAGCATCTAATCATCCTCGTCTCTATTTCTCGCCCTCTTCCCACTCCTCCTTCATCCCTTCCCCACTGCGCCTCGTCATTTTCTCCTATCCGCCCCTTCATCGTTCGCCGCATCGCAAGAGAACGAACAATCACCATGATCCTCATCATCCGCCTGCTATTGGTGCTGTTCCTGCTGAGCGGCAGTCTCCATCTCTCTCTCTCTCTCGGTCTGGGTCTCGCTCTTTCTCTCTCTCTCTCTCTCTTTCTCTCCCTCTCTCTCTCTCTCTCTCTCTATATGTCTCTCTCTGTCTAAATTTATATTTTTTTTCTCTCTCTCTCTCTATCTGTCTCTCTCTCTCTCTATCTCTCTCTTTATCGCTGTCTCTATCTCTCTTTCTCTCTCTCTCTCTCCATCGATCGCTCTCTCTCTATCTCCCTCTTTCTCTCTCTCTCTCTCTCTCTCCCTTCCTGCGTCACCCGACTGCTGCTGCAACAATGTGAAATCACGGTGGTTGACTTCGGCATGGTTGTCTGCACAGCTGGAAGCTCTGCGTACGCATCATCAATATCACACTCCCTCTACTCCCCCTATACCTTTTCTCACAAAAACTTCTCCCAGTCGCACCCTCAGACGTGTCCGTGGGGCAGGGCGTTCTCCCTGAGACTTCATGACCATATGTGATTCTGAAGCTTGAATGTTGCAATAGGTTCACTGGTGGAGGGCGGGCCGTTTTCAAAATGAGGCTCCCGCCTGAGCGCCGCGCACACTCGTATCAAAGTTTGCAGCCGGTTCACTGGTCGAGGGCCGTCTCAAAAATTCTCGCCGTAGCGCCACACACATTCATCTTAAACGTGTGCAGCCAGCTTCACTAATTGAGGGCGGGTCGTTATCGAAATGTTGCTTTCGCTTCAGCGCCACGCACATCCGTCTTAACAGTGAACAATGATTTCAAGGATGGAGGGCGTTTCCTTTTCAAACTGTGGCTCTCGCCTTACCGCTGCGTACTTTCGTGTTAAACGTTTGCGACACTTGCAAGGGTTCGTATGGTTGAAGTCTCAAGAATGGTGTTCTGGCACGACTTAGGCTCGTCAGGACGCAATAGTCACGATGAGTCGCGGCGTTGAGATCCAAGGAATTGTGGTTTCGTATGGTTGGGGACTCAGACGATTGTATCACAATTGGGCATTTCCCGCAGTGAGCTTAAATCCATGTAGGGACAGATGAAGAAGAAGCTTGGAGCGAGGGTTTATTGTAACATAGTTGAGGCGTCTTGGGCTTATACTGGTCCTGCTCATCATCCTGGCAGCGTGTGCACACATCACCCATCGATTCTCAAGAGGGACTCCTCGGCTTCTTGGGTTCGGTTCGGCAGCGTTGCGAAACCTTCCCCAGAAGTGGGGCTTCGCGAGGGGGGACGCTCGGGGCGGTGGTGCTGTCGCTGCATAAGATCAGCTGGGAATTCGACCCTCCTCTGTCTTAAGGGAACCCGGTGGGGGGGGGAGGTCCACCATCTTGTATGCACGTCTCCCGATCGACGCCCAGATCCTGGCTGCAGCGAGCGTGGAAAGAGAGCGCACAGGGAGAAGCGTATGGGAAGCTGGCTGTCTGCTTTGTCCGGCGGCGCGCTCGACGGTGGTATGGCGCTGCCAGGGCGAGTGCAGATGGACTCTGCCCCTGTGCAAGCTCGTGGGAAAAGTTACCATCCAGGACATACTAAGCAAGGGCCCTGGGCAAACTAAATAGCAAGCTCATCCTCCGCATCCTCCTCCTCATCATCCTCATGATCCTCCTCCGACTCCTCCTCATCTTCATCCTCCCCCTACTCCCGCTCATTATCGTCGTCGTCCTCCCCGTTCTACTCGACATCCTTCTCCTCCTCGTCCTCTTCTTATTATTATGCTGATTATTATTATTAGTATTATTATTATCATTATTATTATTATTCGTATTATAACTCTCAGTATTACCATTATTATTTCTCCTCCTCCTCCTCCTGCTCCTCCTCCTCTTAATTTCCATCCTACTCCTTACCTTCCTTGCCGTCTTACCCTCCTCCTCCTCCTCCTCCTCCTCCTCCTCCTCCTCCTCCTCCTCCTCCTCCTCTGTCCTGTCCGACTCTCAACAGGCAGGCAAGGTCCTGGAGCCTGAAGCCTACGACACTGCAACGACGCGCCCGTCGGGGACGTCAGGCGGTCGTGGGGCCGGCCGGCTAGAATCTGGGGAACGGCGCACGGTCGGGGCGAGGGCCACCGCGGAGCGAGCAGGGCGAGGGGAAGGGGGAGAGGGGACAACGGGGAGGAGGACGGGGAGGAGGGGGGAGGAGGAAAGAGAAGAAGAAGAAGAAGAAGAAGAGCGAGGAGCGAAGAGGAGCCAGGAGGACAAGCGAGGAGGAGGGACGGGTAGAGGAGAAGCGAGGAGGCGGAGGATGAAGAGGAGGAGGAGGAGCGAGGACGAGGAGCTAGGAGCGAGTAGCGAGAAGGAGCAATAAGGAGCAAGAAGGAGCAATAGTGAGGAGCGATAAGAAGCGAGGAGGAGGAGCGACTAGGAAGCGGAGGAGGAGCGACGAGGATGAGGTATGATAGAAGAGGCGGAGGGGTCGGAGGAGAGTGTGTGATGGTGGAGGAGGAGCAATAGCAGAAAAGGCGCGCTGCCGCCCGCATGGCAGCGGCTTTAGGCCCACACGAGCCACGGACGAACTGGAAGAGGAATTGCAAAACGGCCACAGATGTTAGCATGAAGGACATGGGTCCTGCTGGAAATGGCTCATGGGTTTGGGTTCGAGATGTTCGGCACCCTGTCATGCGACAAGCTACGCTGCACATCGGCTCTGCAGATGAGATGGACCAACACATATACGAACAGATAAAATCCAGAAGTGTGAAGTTGAGCGTGCTTATACGAAAGATCGCCTGTTGACGTATGATCGTGCACGCCAGAAAGAAGCAGGTGGTGAGGGCGAGGAGGACATGAAGGAGGCGGCGCGTGTCTGAGGAGGCGGTACGCTGCGCAAGCCCCACCAACAAAACCGAGCGCTGGAAAGTCTTGCGTAAAAAGGCTGGCCAATCCAGGCTACATAAGCAATGCTGCTGACTGCAAGTAATATGAGCTGAGATGCCTGAGCTGATTCAGCTAAGTTGGTACGTGGATGAAGCTAGCTCGGGTCAACTCGGAAGAGTTGCGAAGCAAGCAAACATAGGCCAGCTAACCCAAATGATACGCATGCATCAGCAGGCTTGGGGCTGTATGCAAACTGCACAGCCCTACCAGTCTGAGCACAAAGGGTACAGAGAGCGAACCCGCCTAAGCCACGCGCCTTTAAAAAGAAGCCATTGAGCCAGGCAAGATGATGAGCGTAGACAGCATCAGTGAATGAACAGATCGAAAAACACAGACACAGCGGATGAACACAGAGAAGGAAGCACAAGCAACCAATGGATGTGTGTATGTGTTGCTCCAGGTCGGTGTTCACACACCGGCGTGACCACTCATCGGAAAGCCTAGATTGATTACGACATCGCTTCAAGCGTCCTTGTAAATAACGAATATGGGTGTCCAGCTCACCCAGACAAAGTATATGCTCACCGCTGCTGCGCATTGTATGCTGTATGTGCCCCCAAGATGAGCAGAGTATGTGTGATCACGTGTGTTCGGGGTCGTGTCGCGGATGCTCGCCTGAGTCTGTTGGGCCCCGTCTCCTCCCACGACCCAGGACGACAAACATTCTGACCGAGCCCCTGCGGGTGGCAAACAAACGGTGCTCAGCATGCCACGCTGCCGTCGCAACGCCGTAACGAGTCCCTTCCAGTCCATCCTTCGGCTGTGAAGCTAGCCGCGCGCTCTCCTGGCCATGCTGCGTATCGCTCGCTGCGTGTCCAGCGTGTCGGCGGCATCAGAGACTTGTCGCACCGACTGGTACATCTTCTTCGAAGCCGCCTCCACCGAAAAGACAAGAGCTTATACTTTCACTCGCACGCATAAACACATCAGAAAAATTCGACATCGAGGACATGTCACATAGGTGCGGGCGACGTGCATACGCAAAAACACAACACCAATGAACCTGTCACTCAGGTTGACAGATACAGGGACTCATCCAAATGAAGAGCTATCTGACTATGCACTGCTGATTCAGCAACGATGACTGCAAGGTTCTTGCATTCGGTTGTCTCCTCCCTCCTTCCTTATCTTCTCCCTCCTTATCCTACTCAATTCCCTCGTTCTCCTTCTCCTCCTCCTCCTCCTTCTCAGTTTCCCCTGGCTACTACCACATATACCCGTCAGGACACCGCTACTTGCATCTGGAGCATGAACATGGGAGGGCTCAGCAAGAGAGGTCAAACATGTAAGCTACTCACAAAGACTAACGCATCGGTGTAATAGGAAACTGGGAAGATCCATCTCACATTCGTCATAGTCAAGTCCGTCGGTCGCTCACGACTGATTCGTTGAAGCGGCTGGTCCGTCGCGGCATTCCGTTCGCATACCCGAAGGCACATCGGTGCCAGCACTGCCCGTGAGAGGAAAGACCAAAAAAATACTGCAGTCAGAGAGTGGAAGATCCAACCTGCAAAAAGACGAAGAATCTGACCAGCGGAAGAACGAAGAATCTGACCAGCGAGGGGGGAATGTGACAAGCTGACCAGCGAGAGGACCAAGAGTGCGACACGGAGGCAGGGGTAGGCGGAGGATAGATCCGAATGTTATCTGTGAGCGGACAGATGTGATATAACATGAATTGAACCTTGTAGGGTGAGAGGAAGCGATGAAGTGGAAGAAAACAGGGACCATGACTAAGATTGAACGCGGAAACGTCGTACCGATCTTGGTCACCGTCAGTTCGCGGGTCATCCTCGCAAATCGGCGACGGCCGGCATGGACCATAGCCAAGATCGGCGTCGACAAGATCCCGCGACACCTTGGTCATGGTCAGCGTGTTTTTGTCCCTCGAACCGAGGCGCGACGATGCATATAAAACACTCCCCAAACACCGCTTGCGACTCAGGGGCTCTTCCTTGGTGATTTAAACTACTGGTCCTATGTTGCCCGGTCGGCCGTTCCAGCATAGACCGTCATGTCGCTGGCTGCCTGGACCGGTACGATATGTGCTGCCAGGTCGATGGGCCGCTCGGGCTTTGGTTGACTTGACCGCTGTGGCTTGTCTTCCCAAAGCCATCGTCACAACCTTCATCATCATCATCATCATCATCATCATCATCATCATCAAGATTATTATCATCATCATCATCATCATCATCATCATCATCATCATCATCATCATCATCATCATCATCATCATCATCATCGTCATTATCATCGTCATCCTCATCATCATCATCATCATCATCATTATCATCATCAGCATCATCATCCTCGGAATCATGATCATAATCATCATCATCATCACCATCATCATCATCATTAGCAGCAGCAGCAGAACAGCAGCAGCAGCGGCGGCAGCATCATCATCATCATCATCACCACCACCATCATCATCGTCATCAACATCAACAACAGCAACCACAACAACAACAGCAACAACATAATGATAACAAAAATGGTACTAGTAATCATCAGAATGATAACGATAACTATACTACAAGAAATAATCATAATGATAATCATCATCAGCCGCATCATTACCACCATCACCACCACCATCATCATCAGCATCAGCATCATCATCCTCAGCAGCAGCAGCAGCAGAAGCAGCATCAGCATCAGCATCCCATCATCGTCGTCGTCATCTGCATCATCTGCATCAGCAGCAGCAGCATCAGCATCAGCATCGTTCACCATCGCCATTATGATGATAGTCATCATCCTCATCATCGTCATCATCATCATCAACAGCAGCATCATCATCATCTTCCTCCTCCTCCTCCTCCTCCTCCTCCTCTCCCTCCTCATCATCATTATCATCGTCATCATCATCACCACAAGCCTTACCATCATCATCATCATCATCATCATCATCATCATCATCATCATCATCAGCGGCATCCGAATCGTCCTCATCATCACCACCATCATCAACATCATCATCCTCATCACCATCATGGTCATCATCATCATCATCATCATCGCCATCATCAGAATCAGCATCATCATCGTCATCAGCAGCATCGTCATCATCACAATCATCACCATCATCATCGTCATCAGCATCATCAGCAGCATCCAATGATCAGCATCGTTATCACCATCGCCATCATCATCCTCATCATCACCATCATCGTGCCCATCATCATCATCCTCATCATCATCCCCACTATCATCATTATCGTCATCATCGTCGTCATCAGCATCATGATCATCGTAGTCGTGATCGTCATCCTCCTCCTTATCATCGTCATCAGCAGCATCATCATCAGCGTCATCATCAGAGTCCAAATCATCATCATCACCATCAGCATCGTCGTTGTCGTCATCATACATGTTGCCGTCATCATCATCATCATCATCATCATCATCATGATCATCAACATCATCATCATCAACAACAACATCATCATCATTGTCATCATCATCAGCACCAGCATCATCATCATCATCATCATCATCGTTAGCATCAGCATTTACATCATCGGCATCATCAGCATCATCATCCACATAATCGTCAGTATCATCATCACCAGCATCATTATCAGCATCATCATCACAATCATCATCAGCATCATCAGTATCGTCATTATCATCAGCAGCAGCAGCATTGTCATCCGCATCATCATCAGCAACATCATAATCATCATCAGCATCAGCATGATCACCATCATCATCATCAGCAGCAGCAGCGTCCTCGTCATCATCATCATCATCATCATCATCATCATCATCATCCTGATCATCATCATCATCAGCATCATCATCATCATCATAGTCATCGTCATCGTCATCATCATCATCATCATCGAAATCAGCATCATCATCGTCGTCGTCGTCATCACAGTCGTCATCTGATCGTCATCATCATCGTCGTCGTTGTCGTCGTCGTCGGTGCACCCTCGGCCACGCCTCCCACGACGCCGAGCCGCACGACGGATCCCAGCAGCATGACCCCGAGCAATACGGAGATAAGGCCTACGAGTACAAGCCCTACGATTCCAAGCAGCAGGACGTGTCACGGCAGCGCGACACAGTGAGAGTGATGCACAGCAGGCACGGCTCGGTGCGGGGCAAGCGGGGGATAACTGTCACAGCTCCGAGCGCCATGGTCTGCACCAGTACGCCAGGACCCAGGGGTACGACGAGAACCAGCAGCACGACGAGGCAGATTGGCACCAGCTGCACGTCGAGTCGAGGCTCGAGGAGCAGTATGGCGCTGAGCAGCAGCAGTGGGGTCTCGACTGGGGTCGGGCTCGTTCTTGGCAACCTCAACAAGGCCTGGGCAGCGATCGTGGCCTCCCAGGGCGTCGAAGGCCTGGAAGCAGCAGCTTGCCCACGGCGCGGTGCGCGCCTTCGAGCGGCGCGCGGACGGCCTTCGCCACGGAGGTAGACAGGCTCAAAGACGAGGTAAGGCCCCCCAGGCAGTGCACGGTTTCCCCCGGGGCCGTAGGCGACCCGAGGAGGAGGAGGAGAAGGAGGAGGAGGAGGAGGAGGAGGAGGAGGAGGAGGAGGTGCGGAGGAGGAGGAGGAGGAGGAGGAGGACGAGGAGGAGGAGGAGGAGGAGGAGGAGGAGGAGGAGGAGGGAGGAGGAGGAGGAGGAGGAGGAGGAGGAGGAAGGAGGAGGAGGAGGACGACGAGGACGGGTCGCCTAAGCCCTTCGGAGAAACCCCCCACCAGGAAGCCCTGGCCGCGAGGCTGCGGCAGGCTGGCCAGGCCAGCAGACAAAAGCAGAGCTGGAGGACTCTCACGCGCGTTGCCACTCCTTCTGCACCGCCCCTTTCCACGCCTTCTCGGATCAGCAACAGAGCCAGATACATCGGCCCAGACCCCGCGACGTCGTTGGTCCTGGTGACTGTCCACGCTTGGGTTCGAGCCCCATTGTGCCACCGGCGCCGATGAAGCACCGCCGCTCGGCTCCAGGCCACAAGGCGGCGGGCGTGGCGCGGGCGGGGTTTGCTAGACTGCGACCGCCATGCTCGCCGCTCCGACTGCTGCTGGCGGGCCGCTCCGAGGGAGCACTGCTCGCGAGTGCCGGCCTGCAGTGAGCTCGTGAATGCGGCATGCTGCGCTCGACGCTGGTGGTGAGCCGCTCCCGAAAAGGGGGCACTGATCACGAGTGTCGCGCGTCGGGTGCCTCTCGCGAAGGAGCTCGCCGCTGACGCTGGCGGGCCGCTCCCGAAGGAGGGCACTGGTCACGAATGTCTGCGAGATGGGGGGCTCACGAATGCCACAGGCAGCTGGCGCTCGATGCTGCTGGCGGGCTGCTCCTGAAGAGGAGCGCCGGTCACGAACGACGTCGGCTGCGCCGTGCGTGCCCCTTGCAAATGCTTTGAGGCCGTCGCTTGCTGTGCTGTGGCGCGGGCCGCTCTGGAGGGAGAGCTCTGGCCACGAATGTCCGAGCCATGGAGCACGGTTCGAACCAGCTCAGCGCTGGTGCCTGCCTTTCGGAGCTGAGCAGCTGAGACAGCTTCGCGGCCACGACTGGTGCCTGCGTCGGCCAGAAGCGTCGGGTGCCTGCGCAGCTGTCTGTCTGGTCTGCGTGTGCTTACAAAGGCTGGGCCTTGCGACAGCAGCGCCAGACGAAAAGGACCTGTGCGGCAGGCTGTACAGAGCGGGAAGCTCCAAACCTCCTTGGATGCAACGGATCATCATCATCATCATCATCATCATCATCATCATCATCATCATCATCATCATCATCATCATCATCATCATCATCATCAGCATCATCATCAGCATCAGCATCAGCATCATCATCATCATCATCAGCTGCGAGGCAGCAACAGCAGCATCAGCATAAGTACCATCATCATCATCATCAGCAGCAGCATCATCATCAGCATAATCATCATCAGCACCATCATCATCATCATCATCATCATCATCATCATCATCATCATCATCATCAACAACAGTCATCAGCAGCGTCATCACCATAATCATCATTCATTGCCATCAGCATCATCATCCTCATCAGCATCACATCATCATAATCGCCAGCATCATCGTCATCATTAACACCATCAACATAAAAACACCAACAACGGCATCACCATCGTCATCGTCAACAACAGCATCATCATCAGCAGCATCATCACAATAATCAGACACATCATCATAACCATCATAACCCTCATCACTATGATAATCAGCAGCATCACCAGCATAATCAGAATAGTAATCAACATCATCATCAGTATCATCAACATCATCAGCATTACCAGGTTCGTAATAATAATCATCATCCTCATTGTCATCAGCATCATCATCAGCAGCATCGTCATCATCATCGTCATCCGCATTCGCATCCGCATCCGCATCCGCATCCGCATCCGCCTCCTCCTCGTCCTCAGCCTCATCCTCATCCTCCTCCCCCTCCCCCCCTCCTTCCCTTCAACTCTTTCCCCGCATAAAAAAAAACCCTCGCTGTCGCAAGCCGAGGCGTGTCGGTAGGGCGGGCCAGGCGTTTCGAGCACCACCGATCATCCTTAAGATGACGATTTGCAAGAGTTTACAGGATGGAGAGCGGGTCGTTTTCAAAATGCGGCTTTCGCATATTCGCCGCGCACATTCGGCTTAAAGGTTAGATAAAGCTTCACGGATGGAGGGCGGGTGGTTTTCAAAATGTGTCTCTCGCTGTGGCGCCACGCACATGTATTTCAAATGTTCGCAAGGGCTTCACGGATGGAGGGCGGGCCGTTTTCAGAATGAGGCTCTTCCTTTAGCGCTGAGCACATTCGTCTTAAAGAATGCATAACAAGGTTTCATACATTAAGGGCGGGTCGTTATCAAAATGTGGTTCTCGCCTTAGCGCCGCGAACATTCTCCTTATAAGTTCACAAAAGTTTCACGGATGGAAGGCGGTTCCTTTTCAAAATGTGGCCCTCCCCTTAGCGCCGCGCACATTTGTCTTCACAGAAATCAAACCTTCACGGATGGAGGGCGGGTCGTGTTCAAAATGTAACTCTCGCCTCAACGCCGCGCATATTCGGCTTAAGAGTTAACAGCAGTTTCAAGGATTCGCATGGTTAACGTTCCCGAAACGGTGAGGCACGATGTCGGGCTGACACGCGCAACAGTTACCTTGATTCGCGGCGTTGAAGTCCTAGGAATGGGCAAGATGCAGGATTGTCGAGAAGTTACAAGTTACTGTGATTCGCGGAATTGAAAGCCCAGGAATAGTGTCCTCGCACAGCTGAGGATTTTCAAAAGGTCATCTTCCAACGACGCACTTCCCTCAGTGAAAATGAACCCTTGCAGGGGCCCATGACGAGGGAGAGGGTTTCTTGCAGTGTGGTTGAGAAGTCTTGGGTTGACACTGGTCCTCCTCCTACTTCCCCTCCTCCTCCTCCTCCTCCTCCTCCTCCTCCTCCTCATCATCATCATCATCATCATCATCATCATCATCCTCTTCCTCATCCCCATGTTCGTCCTCGCCCTCGTCGTTCGGCATCAGCCTTGCCAGAATCGTCATCGTCACCGTTCTTCTCCTTCGTCATTGGCAGGAGAAGCCGCCTGGTTTTCGACATAATACAAATGGCAGCCTCGCTGCAGGTCGCCCCAAAACTTCTCGTACTCAGCCAGCCTTCCCTGTATGCCTCTCCACATTGCGCACTGTGGAAAGCTGAGGAGATGGAGGTGAAGAGGGAAGCGGGGGAGAACGCAGGGGGGAGAAGGAGGGAGAGAAAGGCGAAGGGATGGTGGCAAGCTAGGTGCGCTCGCGTCATATCTCACGTCCTACCCCTCCCTACCATCCCTTACCATGGCGTAGATATCTTCTCTATTCGCACAATCGGATGTCGTAGCATGGCATAGCATTACATGGCATAGCGCGGTGACGAAGATCAACGCGTAGCATAACATAGCATGGCGTGGCGACGCCCCAAGGTGGGGGCTTCTGCGGCCCAAAAAAACAACGTATCGACACCGAAAATGTAATCACTTCCGATGGTTTCTTCAGGAGGCCATTTTCTACATGTTGGGGCCTATTTGGAAGGACCGAAAACCATGCGTGCGCATGGCACTCCAAATAACGACGCCAACGCTGCAGCGGGAGGACGATTCGGAACGAGCGGAAGCGCGGAAATGAGGCCATCGCTGCAGCGGGAGCACGATTCGGAACGAGCGGTAGCCCGAAAATGAGGCCAGCGCTTCAGCGAGAACAGCGTTTTGAAAAAAACAAGCGCGGAAACGCGAAAATGAGGACACGTAGCCTGACATAGCATGGCGTGGCGACGCCCCAAGAAGGGCTTCTGCGGCCCAAAAAATCAACGAATCGACACCGAATGTTTAATCATTTCCGATGGTTTATTCGGGGGTCCATTTTCTAAATTTTGGGGCCTGTTTTGAAGGACCGGAAGCCATGCGAAGCCATGCCGTGGCGTGGCGCTGGAAAACGATTACGCCAGCGCTGCAGCGGGAGCACGATTCGGAACGAGCGGTAGCCCAAAAATGAGGCCAGCGCTTCAGCGAGAGCAGAATTTTGGAGAAACAAAAAACAAAAAAACAAAAACAACTAACAAAAAAAAAAAAAAACTCAGCACGGAAACCCAACTCCCAGGAGTCCTGTGTGCAAAAAAAACAGTACGCGGAGGGGGGGGGCGGACATTCCCCGGACTCAACTAGGGGAGAGAGGAGAATAGTATTCATATTGTGTAATTGTGGAAGGGTCCAACGGACGCCTTCAACCCCGCTGATACTACGCATAATCGGGACACGTGACGCAGCCCCGCGAATTTCAAAAAAGGGAGACGACCGGGTGGACGCAAGTGTTCCGAACGTCCCCTCAACACTACGACGCTGTTTCTTCTCGGCACTTGACCCTCAAGGCATTTCGAGTTCGATCGCTGAGGCCAAGGATAGACAAGGAACCGTTGGCCTAGAAGTCCACAGGCTTATGGACGACGGCTTGCGAGAAATCGCTAGCATCATACCTCGCCCGCCAGGGCAGAATGATAAGTTCACCAAGGCCTGGTCCTCAAGAACATATTCTATATGCAAAGCCCCCCAGAATACCGAGCTCGCCCAATTTCCGCAGGCGCCTCCCCTGGTTCTCACGCTCGAAGAAGGGACGTACCCATGAGGGCGTCGCCTAATTGTGGCTGCTGTCCGAAATGCAAAGTGACGGCCGTTGGGCAGGCGAAGTGGGCAATCACATTGGCAACGTTCGTGGTGCAATCGACAGAAAGTCTGGCTCGCCATATTTTTTAGCAGCTGTTGCAAGGATGATTCAGTTCGTGGCGATGTGGAGAAAGAGGGGGGATGAGCTCACGACGCGTTGTCGCGAGGCTCCACGCTACCGCTGTTTGGAGTGTGGCCGAAGAGAGTCGTTCAACAAGACGATCCAATCGCGTGCGATGCGCATGAGCACATTACAAATATCTAAACAGTTTCCGACTAGCAATGTGGCCAATATGCCGAAAGGCGGACAAACGTAAAAGTAATCAGCGCGAACACTCAACTCCCCATCCAAAAAAAAATAGAAACGGGAAAGATGAGAAAAGGGACATACAGGTCGAATGCGCACGGCGCGCCTGAGTGGACGAGCGCTCACAAAACAGTGGTCCAATGCTGCTGCCCCTACACCACATGGTACTTACCATTCGACCAGCTGTGGCCTGTGGCCTTAGTCGCGGTACGGTGCGCTGATTTGTCCTCTCAGACACAAGCGGTTCTCCAAATTTCCCCCGGTATACCCTGCAGGGAGTGAACAACGACTCGGCGGTCACATGGGCGGCAGAAGTAAAATAATAATGATTCGAGGAAGTAGATGACGCAAGGCTCTCTCTCATACTATGGACAGCTGTAGGAGACGCAAAATGTTGTAAAACTCTGACATGCAAAAATACATCAAGTAAGGTGAAAATTGTGACGATAACTATGCTGGCCTCGGGGCGGCGCGTCAACAAAAATCTGTTCATCATTCGACAGACGCTCTGTGGCAGCCCTCAAGCCCATCACGCGTTACATTCAAATCGGGGCAGTCGCATGGATCAGCAGAACACGCGCCGGCTATGATGGAAACAAAGTCTGGCGACGTGTCGCCTGGCATCCTGGCCTGGCTCGGTCGGGATCCCGAGACTGTGGCCAACACCAGGCGCTGATACCCGGTCTGCGGTAAGCCTGCATACGGGCGCTCCTCGGTGAGGAGCCCGTTCGCGAGCACCGCGAATGAGAAGACTCCGCCTTGAAGTCGTAGTGGCTCTCAGCGTCCTCGCTGGAGCAGAGCTCGGGGGCTCTGTATACTGGAGACCGTAGATCCAGCGTCAAGCGACCACACTCGCCACCGGCAGCATCCAACAACCTTGCCTGGCCGAAGTCCCCAAACTTCGCGTGGGGGGGGCGCGCTCCGCTTTCCAGCTCGCAGAGGAGCATGACGTTGCTGGGCTTCAGGTCCCTATGCACGACGCTGTGCGAGTTCAGGTGGGCCACGTAGTCGGTGGCTGTCATCACCCTAGCTCTGGAGCGGAGACAGGAAAGAAGGCCGCCCGCCAGCGCAGGAAGCCGTTTGCGTCGTCGAAAGACCGGCCGATGATGGCGATCCCCACCTTGCAGCTGGCGCTGCGGCTGATCCACCCGCTCTTGCTCGTGACCCTCGGTTGGCGGGTCCAGAAACGGGCCGGCAGTTTGTGGTCGCGGGCGACTGCGGCCCGCACCTCGTTGAAGGCGGGGCGCTCTTCGAAGAAATGCCTCATGCTCAGCCGGAACGCTCCGAACAAGCGGCACGGTTGAGCGTCCCAGATCCGCGTCGGGGTCCTGGCAGCGCCAGACCGGGATATCTCGAGGCGGAGATACTCCTCGACAGTGAGCCCCTTCACCCAGCGTTTCCAATCGACGTGGCTGGAGGCGTCAACGTCGACATTCGATGCCCTCACTGTCCTGGCGCGCGGTGTGGACCATGGACAGGCACCAGATTCTGCAGATAAGCAAGACCACGCGTGCTGCTGCAGCGGTGCCGCTCCAGAAGCAGTCACGCACGGGTGCCGAGGCCCGAAAGACGCGGGGGTCGTCCGAGGCCTCGATCTTGAGCTTGAGCCCCCAATCGGCCTCGAAAGCGACGACAGTGCGCTTGGCATGGCGGAAAAAGTTCTGCACGGCGTTCTGGACGAAGGGCAACCAAACCATGTTCTCGTGCTGGATGGCTTAGGCGCATTGGATCACGCTGCTGAAGACAGGGTGGAGCTGCACTCGCTGGGCCCACCGGCGGCCTTGGCACCACCAGGAGCACTGGGTGCACAGGATTGCTTGACAGAGCGTCCACACCGTGGTCGGCGGCGGCGGCTCGAGAAGCGGGCACGCCCACAACCACAGTGGGCGCACGTAGGCTGCGGCCAGGCGCTCCCTTACTGCCTTGCTTCCAGGCAGCGAGCCCAAGATCTGGATGCTGTTCTCCAGCTTGCCCCAGCCGCCTCGAGGGGTGATGGCCACGCTGGCGTCCGCAGGGTTGCACATCACGCCGAGGTGCTCGATCAAGGCGGGGGCTGCTTCGCTCCACTCCTGCCTCTTCTTCTCGTTTTCCTTGAAGCCGACGTCGGCATCAAATTGCTGGGTGCGTTCCAAGCCCCGTCGGAGGTCATCGGCGTGGCCCCGACGACGGCCGCCGAGCGACCGATCGTCCATGAACGCCCAACCCAGCGCCGGGGCCGGGTCCCAGGGGACTGGGCGTGCTGTCGTGACCCCTGGGGCGCAAGAGTCGCCCTGCGGGAGGGAGCGCGTGGGCCACGCTGGCGTGGCCAGCTCTTGTTCGACGCAGCAGACCCTCGGCCCTGCCCACGCCATCCTGCACACAGCCACCACCGCGTGCGGCACTTCTTCTGCTTCGGAAGCGGCTGCGGCGACATCGTGGTCGATGTTGTCGTAAGCCTTGGTCAGGTCCATCTCCAGCCCTGACCGGCAGCCAGAGGCCAGCCAGGCACTGACAGCATGGACCACGCTGGCCCTGGGCCGACACGCCCACTACGAGGGCACCGGCGCGGGAAGCGCGCAGGCCACCGCTGAGAGCCACGCGCGAACCAAGGCGCTGGCCACCGAGATGGGGCGCGATTCGTCCTCGGTCTTCTTAGGGATCCCAACCACCCGCCAGGGCACCAAGATCATGGCCAGCTCCTGAGGGAGCTTGCCCTGCGTGGAGATGGCGTCGTGCGGCACCACAGGCTGTGGAGCTCCGCCACAATCCACGGGGCGACCACGGCGGGAAGCTTCAGCTCGGACGCCGCCCACCCGTCGAGGCTGGCGGCCCCGCGAGTTTTCGCCATGGCAGCCACGAAGTCGGCCAGTTCTGGCACCCGTTCTGGTGGAGATGCGCTCTTGGGGAAGGTCGCGTCCGCAGCCCACTCCTCCCACTTCTGGACGTACTGGGTGCCATCATAGTTTGCGGGCTGCCACACCTGCTGCCAATCCGCCCTCACGGCCTCAGCGTCGAAACCCGGCGCGGGGCCGGCTGGCTTGAACTTTGGCGAAGCCACCTTCCAGATATCCTTCGACCACTGGCAGAAGAGCGCCGCCCAGTGCCGAATCTTCTCGCGGGGAATCTTCTGCTCTTCCCTCACGATGATGGCGTTCAGGCACTCGATGCAGTCGCCGTACTTCGGGAGGCCGTTTGGGGCACGGACGATGGAGTCCTGCACCGCGGCGGCGTACTGTGTCCAATGGCGGTCGGACAGTACTGCGTGAATGCCACACCCATGGTGGACCTGCTCGCTGAAACGCCGGTGAAGACGACGAAGGCGACGAAGCGCCACAGTCTCCTCGAGCTTGTTTCTCTTGGGCGGCGCCGTGGGGCGGCTGGAGGCTGGTGACCCTTTTGCTCGCTCGGGGGCCCGCTCGACCGTGACCCAGCCGAGGGAGACAGCCTGCTGTAGCGCCTCTTCGGCCCGTAGGTGCCAGTTGCGCCACTGGTGCACTAGTTCCACGTCGTCAGAGGTCCGTGGAGCCAGTTGGTCCTCTGCGTCTGCGATGCACTGCACGCCGTTGTCGTCGTCCACGAAGCTGACCTTGGCAGCCTGGTAGGACGCCGTATGGTGTAGGCGCTGAAGTTGCCGGCAGGGCTCTTCCAGCTCGAGGGTGAACTCGGCCGCGCCGTGCAACGGGATCCCCTCCAGGAAGGTGGTGCCCTCGCGGACGGGTGCGGGGCATCGAAGTCCGACCACCGCAAACAAAGATCTGGCGACGTACCGAGTGTCGTCGTCGGGCAGGTGGGCGCGGCCATAGACCAGGCTGCAGACAGGCAGCGCGTGTAACGAGGCTTCCAGTTACTATCACCGGCGACGGTGCAGGTGGGCCATGCCTCTGGCAACGTCGAGCCCGATCTTGACGCGCTGAGCCATTGTTGGCGCGTGCGTCCTCTGCGACCTGTGTATGACCCCGTGCACAGATCCTCCGGGGCAGCACTCCATGCAGAACACTGGGGCTGGTCCCGTCGGCGAGCGCTTTGAACAGTTGCACAAGGTGCCCGCGCCTGGGCATCATCCTGGCCTGGATCTCCCGCTCGATCCGCTTCTGCGTCGCCAGGGCGCCCCCGAACCCCTCGCAGCTCGCCTCCACGGCCACCCGCCCGCCCGGCTCGAGGCCGTGGGCCGGCTCGAGGCGCCGCCCCCCCGCGGGAGCCCGCCTCGACGAGCGCCACCTCCTTGAGCTCGAGGCTCCGGTCCGCGCACCTCCTCGAGGCACTGGCGGCCCGGCCGTCATCCCCGTCGTGCCGCGACGCGTGCACCCTCCCGCCGCAGGCTCCCGCAGGTGCTGGACGGCGCCGGCCTCCGGCGGCGGAGCCGCTGCCTCCGCAGCGGGTGCTTCTCGCCGGGGCTGGGGTCCGTGGCGTCGCCGTTCGGGGCACGGCAGGTCCTCCTCCGTGGCCTGCGTCTTCCAGCTCTCGAACCTCGGCGGCGCCATCGCCACGCCCGTCAGATCCGTGCCGCTCGACGCAGTTGACCCAGCGCCAGGCTGCTAGGCCTCGAGTGGATCCCCAGGGAGCTGCGGGTCCACGGGCCATTGCTCGAACATGGATCTCTAGATCAAGCGCACGGACACCCCGTCCACGCCCGCGTGGAGGGAGGCGTCAGCCTTGAGCCAAAATGACTACGGAACAGCAAGTCTGGCTCGCCATGGAGAGAGCCTGCTGCTCATCGTCCCCATCCGTTCTGTCCCAAATCCCACCCTCTCGATGGAAATCACCCGCCTCCCCTGCCTCAGGAGGCAACTTCTGGGAGGTCTTCGTAAGAACAATAAGACAATCAAACCCTGTTCAACACCGAGAGTATTGAGCCGGATTCGCCCAGACTAAACCCGATCACGCCGGATTAAGCAGGGCTAGCCAGAACTCAAAGGGATTATGCCGGATCAGGCCAGTATTCGATCAAGGGTACACCAGGGCCGATGCTGAATCTAACCACCCAGGAGTTACACTCTAACCTGCCATGCCCACGACGCATCCCTCCACCCTGCTCTCCTAGAGGCTTTCCAAATCGGGTCCATGTAGATGGGGTCGGAGGATCGCGCCGCATCGCCGATACATCGTCGATGCATCGGGGCCGCTGGCGTATGGAAGATCCATCTCCACGTCGAGCCGCATCGCCGATGCATCGGCGATGTGGCGCGATCCTCCGACACAATCTACTTCTAGCTCCTTTCCCAGAGCTCCGACGTCATGATTTGTCATCACGTCTGCCCCCAGAGGTCTCGACCCATTCCCAGGGGCCGGGTTTTCATCCCGAGTCGTTTTGCTGACGGTCCCGAGGCCCAGCGAACCGCCCCTGGAGGCCGCAGATGCGAACAAAACCTCCCCGAGGGGGTCTGGGCTCGGAGGCCTACATCTCCTTTAGGGGGCCACATGCGAACCCTACCCCTACCCCCCACGATTTCTGAGGGGGAGGGTGGGGTTCACTTCGTGCGGGAGCTCCCGAGCGAAGTGAACCCCACCCTCCCCTCAGAAATCGTGGGGGGTAGGGGTAGGGTTCGCAGGTGGCCCCCTATCCTTCCCGCAGAGGCAGGCGAGCCCAGAATCGATTCGATACGTCGGATCGGCGATCGAAAATCATCGGATCGGCGGAAGTCGGCGGCCGAGCCGGGAGACGTCGGATCGGCGGAGATCGGCACGCCAGCAGGCCCCCATGGAGAGAAATCGGCATCCGCATCCGCACCCGAGGCCGCATCGGATCGGCATCGGAAACCACCGAAATCGAATCGACTAGGGGGCCACATGCGAACCCGACCCCTACCTCCCACGATTTCTGAGGGGGAGGGTGGGGTTCACTTCGCTCGGGAGCTCCCGAACAAAATGAACCCCACCCTCCCCCTCAGAAATCGTGGGGGGTAGGGGAAGGGTTCGCATGTGACCCCCTATCGACTCGAATCGGGGGAGTCGAGACGAGCCCCGGAGGGCCCCCCGTTGCCTCCAGCTCCTGGCCTCCCCGGGCGGGCGCGCGCGCGCCCAACGGCGGGGGCGTGGTGGCTCTCGGGCCCCATGGCCGCGCGCCCGCCTCCTACGCCTCCCGGTTCCTCTCTCCCCTTCTCCTCCCCCTCCCTTCCCCTCCGGGGCATTCCCCCCTAGTAGCCAGGCGTCCTCACCCGCGCTCGGCGCTTCGACCCCCCCTCCCCCTGGCTCTTGGCCAGGGCGGTGGGGCCGGACACGTGGCTCCGCAGAGGAGCAGGCGCATGGCTTGTTGGGCCCGAAGCCGAACCGCATCGGCATCGAAAACCACCGAAATCGAATCGACTCGCGCCGGAGGGGTCGAGCTGAGCCCCGGAGGTGGGGATATCTAAAGGTACCGACACCGCTACTCCCTGGACCTCTCCCGGGGTGCGTTCTGAGCAGGATTTCGAGGCGGATCCAGCGGTGGCGACGAGGGCCTCCCAGGAGGCCCACCAAGGGGAAGACGAGGGAAAGGTAGCGATAGGGGTGATTATCCTCTGGGAGATGAGCCGCGGAGGGCCCCCCGTGGCCCCCTCCTCTGGTCGGACCTCTGCTTCAGAGGAGCAGGCGCATTGCTTGTATTTTTCCACGCCCCCGACGTATTAGCAAGTCTAACTGCCCTGCCGCAGCGCCGCGCGCAAAAGATACCCCGACGCATTATCAAGTCGAGTGGTTCTGGGCCCAAGCTCAGAGCCACCAGGGTGCGGAGGGCTCCCATCTACCCCGCGGAGCCTCTGGGGCTCGCATGGGGATGTTCACCACGGCAAGCTCCACTCATCAGGCGCATCGTCTCTTGGGCCCCCCCTGGCCCCCTCCTCTGGTCGAACCTCTCCTGGGGTGCGCTCCGACCAGGATTTCGAGGCGAATCCAGCGGTGGCGACGAGGGCCTCCCAGGAGGCCCGAAAAGGGCAAAGCGAGGGAAGGGTAGCGGTAGGCTCGGCCTCCTCCAAGAGATGAGCCGCGGAGGACCCCCCCGTGGCGAGGGAGGAGAGAGGAGGAGGAGGGGGAGGAGGGAGGAGGAGGAGGAGGAGGAGGAGGAGGAGGGGAGGAGGAGGGGAGGAGGAGGAGGAGGAGGAGGAGGAGGAGGAGGAGGAGGAGGAGGAGGGAGAGGAGGAGGGAGGAGGAGGAGGAGGGAGGAGGAGGGAGGAGGAGGAGGAGGAGGAGGGAGAGGAGGAGGAGGGAGGAGGAGGAGGAGGAGGAGCTGCCCCCCCCCCCCCCCGTGGCCCCCTCCTCTGGTCGAACCGCTGCTTCAGGGCCTTGCTGTTCGAGGCGAAGCCCACGAGGCGCTCCGTGTGCTCCTCGCCGCCAGCGGGCGGCCCGCGGGCGGTCGGGCGCTCGGCCGCGGGCCCCCACAGGGGGCGCTCGGGCGCGGGCGGCGGGCGCGCGGGGGGGGGTCCTTCGCCCGGCAGCTCGTCGGCAGGCCGTGGGTGGCCTTCGGGGAGCCTTCGGGGAGCCTTCGGGGAGCCTTCGGGCCACCTCGTCGGCTGCACGGTTTCCCCCGGGGCCGTAGGCGACCCGAGGAGGAGGAGGAGGAGGAGGAGGAGGAGGAGGAGGAGGAGGAGGAGGACGACGAGGAGGAGGAGGAGGAGGAGGAGGAGGAGGAGGAAGAGGAGGAGGGGGAGGAGATGGAGGAGGAGGAGGAGATGGAGGAGGAGGAGGAGGAGGAGGAGGAGGAGGAGGAGGAGGAGGAGATGGAGGAGGAGGAGGAGGAGGAAGAGGAGGACGGGTCGCCTAAGCCCTTCGGAGAAACCCTCCATCGTCGGCTCCTGCGAATCGACGCTCGCATCGGCGCCGAAGCGACGCCGGCCGGCGCTGAAGCGAGGCTACGTCGGCGCCAGATCGACGCCGGCAATCGGCATCAGATCTTCATCGGCTCCAGACGCCAGAGTCGACGCTGGTCGACGCCGAAGACGGATTTGCGAGAGCACACATGTTATGAGGAAGATCCTGGAGGCCTCGCGCGGCAACTTGAGACCCGATTTACGTCGGATGTACGTGGGGCTCGTGCCGGATTACGTCGGAATTGCGTCGGTTAAGTCGGGCTGACGCCGGAGCATCGCTGCGCGAGCGTCGACCCATCGCGAGCTGCTGGCGCGGGGAGCCTTCGGTGGCAACTCATGTTATGAGGAAAATCCTGGATGCCTCGCGCGGCAACTTCAGACCCGATTTGCGTCGGATGCACGTCGGGTGTACGTGGGGCTCACGTCGGACGACGTCGGAATCGCGTCGGAGTTGCGTCGGGCTGACACCAGAACATCGCCGCGCGAGCGTCGACCGATAGCTTACGGAGCTGGCGTGTGGACTAGATAATACAACTATTACGCGCCGCGCGAGGCCTCCCGGACTTTCTTCATGACTCATGGGAGCCTCCCATACCATCTTGTCGGTTCTTGCGAATCGACGCTCATCATTGCCAAGTCGACGCTAAAATCGACGCTACATCGGTGCTCATCGACGCTAGCCGACGCTGAATCGGCACCATCTCTCATCGACTCCAGAAGCTAATCGACGCTAGTCGACGCTAAAGACGGAATTAAGAGGGTACACAAGCCTCCCATGACTTGCTACCGAGGGAGCCGGCAAGGGGGAGGCTAGAGTTCGAAAGTCCAGGAGCCTATTTTCCCAATCAGGTAAGTCTACTTGCATGGCGCTGCCCCCCCCCTCGCCCCTCTCCATACGAATAGTTACTAGCGTGTGCAGGTGCCTTTTGACTTGCGTGATTTCCGCACGTGCAAGTCGTTTGCGGCTTGCTTCAGGTTCAGGGCCCCCCCGTCCATGCTAGTGAACCTGCCAGACACTATAGAAAAAGACTCAAAGTCCAGGGCTCGCTAGGGACTGCTTTCCTGTCGAATTAGCCGAAACCTTCCCGAAGCCCTCCGAAAAGCCTCCGCGAAGGGTTCTGGGAGGCTCTTCGGAGGGTTTCGGGAGGGGGAGAACAGTCCCTAGCGAACCCTAGGCTTCCCAAGGCTAGAGGCCTCCGAGGTGGGCTCCTCGTAGATGGGGTCCGAGGATCGCACCGCATCGCCGATGTATTGCCGATGCATCACCGATACATCGCCGATGCACGAACGATTGCGATGCATCCGCGACGTGTGCCTGGAGAATACTGGGCACCACATCGAGCCGCAGTGGCGATGCATCGGCGGTGCGGCGTGATCCTCCGACCCCATGTACTCGGACCTTACCTGGGAGACCCAGAGGCAAGGGAGGAGGCGGGGGCGGGGGCATGCATGGTGACGACCCGGACACACTCGCGTCGTGACAAACAAAAAGAAACGGCGGGCAGATTTTTGGCCGCTTTCAGCCTCGGGGGAACCCTCGCCGGGCACCGGGACCCTCAAAAACCAACTGGGGATGAGAATATGGTGCTAGGGATGGGGTCCGAATCATCGGGGGCACACGTTGCAAAAAGAGCATGACGTCGGAACTCTGGGTGGGGACCGGGTGCCCAGACCCCCGACGTCGTGACTCTTTCACGACGTGACCCTCAAAAGCTCGGACCCCTTCCCGGGGACCGGTTTTTCATCCTGCATGGTTTCTTGACGCTCCCGAGGCCCGGCGAGGGCCCCCGGAGGCCGAAAGTAGCGAAAAACCTCCCGTCACGATCGTTCCAGGACGCGAGGGGGTCTGGGTGGGGGCGTCGAGATCTCTCTTCACGTCGACCGCTCCTGGCCAGGCCGTGCCTTGGCCCAGGAGGTGGGGGGGCACGTCCCCCGTCTTTGTCAGGCCGGGGAGGCACGTGCGCCGGCCCCGGGCCCACAGGGGCGGCGGCGTGCTGAACAGATCTCGACGCCCGACGAGGACCCAGACGTCCGCCGATATGATCTGTTCAATCCCAGGCCCCCCTCGCGTCGTGGAAGAATCGTGGCGGGAGGTTTTTCGCTAGTTTCGGCCCCCAGGGGCCCAAACTGGGCCTCGGGAGCGTCAAAAAACGAAGCAGGATGAAAAACCGGTCCCCGGGAAGGGGCCCAAACTTTTAAGGGTCACGTCATGGAAAAAAATCACGACGTCGGGGGTCTGGGTCCAGCCAGGGCATACATCGGCGGCGCACCCAAAAGGAAGGAGGAGGGGGCGGGCCTTCTCAAAGAAGGCTCACGAGGCCTCCGGCCTTCCGAAACGCTTCCGTGAAGCCTTCTCCGAAGCCACGGAGGGCTCCTCAAAGAGGGCCAGAGGCCCAGACATCCGCCGACAGGACTTTCTCAATCCGCGGCCAGCCAAGGGTCCCGAGCCCTTCCTCCTGGGGGTGGCTGTTCGTCCCGGCTCCGTTTTTGATGGTCCCCGGGCCCGAAGACGGGCCCCCGGACGCCGGAATCCATTAAGAACCGCAGGATTGAGAAAATCAGAGCCTCGGATCTCTGGGGGGGGGGCCTTCCGAGAAGCCCCGCCGCCTGCCGAGAGAAGGCGGAGGAGGACGAGGAGGAGGAGGAGGAGGAGGAGGAGGAGGAGGAGGAGGGAGGAGGAGGAGGAGGAGGAGGAGGAGGAGGGGAGGAGGAGGAGGAGGAGGAGGAGGAGAGGAGGAGGAGGAGGAGGAGGAGGAGGAGGAGGAGGAGGAGGAGGAGGGGAGAGGCGCGGCCCCCAAGACGCCCTGGCGGCCCCCCGGGGACTGGGCCAAGGCGGCTCGAGAGGCCCCCGAGATGGCCCTGGGACTCACTGAGAGGGCCCCAGGACGGCCCCAGAGGCTTCCAAGGTCCCAGAGATCCAACGTATTGAAAAAATCAAGACGGAGGTTTTTCTCCATTTTCGGCCTCTAGGGGCCCTCGCCGGGCCCCGCGACCGTCAAAAAACGACTCAGGATGAAAAACCGGTCCTGGGGAATGGGTCGAGACTTCGGGGGACCGCGTATTGAAAAAATCACGACATCGGATCTCTGGGGTTGCAACAGCAGCAACAGAAAACCTCAGGAGGGCCTGGCCCCAGAGAGGCCCAAGAGGTAGAGCCCTCGGGGACCCAGGGGGCCGCTCACCACAAAATGGCCCCCGAGACGCCCAACATGCCTCCTAGAGGCCCCCAAGAAGACAACAGAGAGCCCCGAAAAAAAATCTGGGAACCTTGAGAAAGCTCCAAAAGGCCGCCACCTGGACCTCCAAGAGGCCCCCCAGAAGCCCCGCAACAGACGCTGAGGAAAAGACGGACGAATCAGCAGCAACTGCACGCATGCAGCACGACGGGAAGCGCCAAACAAGACACACGAAATCGAAAGCCGCACATATCCCCGTGTGGGGGTCGGCGGAATGGCGCAACCCCTGTGAATCCGCCCGCCCACCGGGCTGAGGGGCGTGTGGGATTTAACTACAGAGCTTTAGCCCCCCCCTTTTTCCCCCCCAGAGGCCTCCGCCATTCCGCCGCCCGGCTGCGGCAATGCCTTCTTTCGGTTTCCAAAACGGCTCCACGACGGCGTCCAAGACAAGCTCGATCTTGGTATCGTTCTGAATACGCTGCCGGGGCGCCTGTGGGCTCCATTTCGGCCCCGTCGGGGCCCCTTCTTGGCCTCCAATATCCGTTCCCGGAACCCTCGACAGCGCATCTTTGGCTCATTCTCGCCGACACGTGGGGATGTCAAAAATTATCCCGGCAAAGAAACCTAACAGCGATATGTAGAAGCATAACTATCTGAAAGCATTCCCCTTAAAATTCAAATGACAACCCAGTTGTAGAATTCTGCTGTTCTCGCAGTCGTAGTCGCATTCGCGATGACAGTCGCAGCGGCAACGGCAGTCGCAGTCACAGCCTCAGCCTCAGCCTGCCTCAGCCTCAGCCTCAGCCTGCCTCAGCCTCAGCCTGCCTCAGCCTCAGCCTCAGCCTGCTTCAGCCTCAGCCTCAGTCTGCCTTCAGCCTCGGCCTCAGCCTCAGCCTGCCTCAGCCTCAGCCTGCATCAGCCTCAGCCTCAGCCTCAGCCTGCCTCAGCATCAGCCTGCTTCAGCCTCAGCCTCAGCCTGCCTCAGCCTCAGCCTCAGTCTGCTTCAGCCTCAGCCTCAGTCTGCCTTCAGCCTCGGCCTCAGCCTCAGCCTGCCTCAGCCTCAGCCTGCCTCGGCCGCAGCATCAGCCTGCCTCAGCATTCAAAATGTGGCCCAAGAATGGAGTTCTGGGAACTAGAAGAACACGAAGTGGCCTACAGTTGGCTCCGGGCATTCAAAATCATGCCCAGGAATGGAGTTCTGGGAACCTGAAGAGCACGAAGTGGCCTACAGTTGGCTCCGGGCATTCAAAATCATGCCCAGGAATTGAGTTCTGGGAAATCGAAGAGCACGAAGTGGCCTACAGTTGGCTCCAGGCATCCAAAATGTGGCCCGGGAATGGA